CCCCAAAACCCCAAAACCCCAAAACCCCAAAACCCCAAAACCCCAAAACCCCATAATAATACGAGGAAATTGTTATGTAGATTATAAATATTTATTAAAAATGTTCAAGACTGCTAAATCTTTGTGACTCTTGTTGCTAGTGTCCTCCCTGGCTATCACTGTATATTCAGAAGCAACCCAGTACCCGGTTTATATGTGGGCACAGAAGGAGAAAGGAAAGAAGATCGAGTATAAGCCAGAGGTAGGCTCAGATGGACAGATAGTCCATGTTTTGAGCAGCCAAGTTTCAGAAGAGGTTAAGAATATCCTAGAGACTACTGATGTTAACTCTTTTATTGTCTATACCAGACCTGGAATGACCACACAAGGGCTAGTAGACACTTTGGTTAATAACAAACAGATCGGAACTTTGTTGAAAGAGTCCAAAAATAATGCTATTGAAAGAAGCTTCATTGATGTTGTAGGCGAGTCTGTATCAACTGAACTAACCAAGAAATTTGAAAATATTAAAACCATTGTTGTTGATTCAGAACAAAGCCTAAAAGAATTGAAGGAAGAATTTGCATCAGCTCCAAAGCCATTCATTCACCAATACTATATCATCAATGTTGCAGTAGCAGAAGATAAAGATTTTAACGAAATTGTATTCCAGCTAGATAAAGCTTTCACTGAAAGAACTCTGGGAAATCATATTTCTATCCTTTCTGGAAGTCCAATTGGTTCAAAATTGCAGGAAGTCACTATCACTAAAGAACCAGAACTCAGATACACTGCTGAAGTAGGAGCTGATGAAGACGTCTTTCAATACACCACTTCCAATATCTTGACAAAGGGATTGATTGGTATTCCAATTGTCTTCCTGATAATCATCTCTGTTGGCTTACTTATGGACATCAAGACTCCAACTCTCTTCGTCTCTGAAGGAATCGACTTTGGAAAGATTGAGAAATAATTGTATATTCTACTAAAGAATCTAAAAACCATTTATATGTCTTCAGCGGTCCCTAGCAGGGGTTGCTAGAGTCTCACTCAGTGTTTTGAGAAAGAATAATAATACAATATTATTCAATATTGGGATTTCCAAAAGGGGTTTTGGGGTTTTGGGGTTTTGGGGTTTTGGGGTTTTGGGG